GTGTGTGTGTGTGTGTGTGTGTGTGTGTGTGTGTGTGAGTGTGCGTGTGCGTGTGCGTGTGCGTGTGCGTGTGCGTGTGCGTGTGCGTGTGCGTGTGCTTGTGCGTGTGCGTGTGCGTGTGCGTGTGCGTGTGCGTGTGCGTGTGCGTGTGCGTGTGCGTGTGCGTGTGCGTGTGCGTGTGCGTGTGCGTGTGCGTGTGCGTGTGCGTGTGCGTGTGCGTGTGCGTGTGCGTGTGCGTGTGCGTGTGAGTGTTCGTGTGCGTGTGCGTGTGCGTGTGCGTGTGCGTGTGCGTGTGCGTGTGCGTGTGCGTGTGCGTGTGCGTGTGCGTGTGCGTGTGCGTGTGCGTGTGCGTGTGCGTGTGCGTGTGCGTGTGCGTGAGCGTGTGCGTGTGTGTGTCTGTGTCTGTGTTTGTGTCTGTGTCTGTGTGTGTCTGTGTGTTCCGTGCAGGCCTGGCCCCGGCAAGCGGAAGGGCGGCCGCGGACCGTCGGCTTGGCCAGCGGCAGCGCTGATCGGCGGCAACCCGACCCCAGGAGGGACGGACAGGGGACCGACCACGACGACGACGACGACGACGACGACGACGACGACGACGACGACGACGACGGCGACGACGACGGCGACGACGACGACGACGAGCGAAAGCGAGAGCGAGAGCGAGAGCGAGAGCGGGGCCACGAGGGGCAGGGGGCCACGAAGGGCGACAGCAGGGCCACGAAGCGCATGCACATGGGGCCACGACGGGCGCGAACGAGCGGGGACGACGAAGGGCAGATAATGCGGGGCCAAAAAAGGCAACGACGGAGCCACTGAGGGTACCAACGGGGCCAGGTAGGACAGCGAGGGGACCACAAACGGCGACAGCGGGGCCACGAAGGGCATGCACATGGGGCCACGACGGGCGCGAACGAGCGGGGACGACGGGGCCACTGGGGCACCAACGGGGCCACGTAGGACAGCGAGGGGGCCACAAAGGGCGACAGCGGGGCCACGAAGCGCATGTACATGGGGCCACGACGGGCGCGAACGAGCGGGGGCCACGAAGGGCATATGCATATTGGGCCGCAGAGGGCAAGGACGGGGCCACTGAGGGCAGCAACGGGGCCACGAAGGGCAGCGAGGGGGCCACGAAGGGCGACAGCAGGGCCACGATGCGTATGCATATGGGGCCACGGCGGGCGCGAACGAGCGGGGGCCACGAAGGGCATACGTATATGGGGCCACGAAGGGCAGCGAGGGGGCCGCGAAGGGCTGCAACGGGGCCACGAAGGGCAGCGAGGGGACCACGAAGGGGCGCAACGGGGCCACGAAGGGCAGCGATGAAGTGGTTGCACCCCACAGTTCTGGTGGGGACGAAGCTGTCCACACCTGGACAACATCCAAGTGCAAACCCGCGCGCCCCCAAGCCGCTTGAACCCGTAACAAACGTTCCAAAGTTGGAAAAAAAACCAAGGGAAACAACTGGAGCGTTGTATTTGTAGTTGCTGTTTTACGCTAAGATACGCGCGAGCTGTTTCGGTTTCGGTCACCCCCCGAAGCCGCCCGATATTGCCTGGGATCGCGGGGGGGACTTTGGGATTTGATTCTGCGAGCATCCGTCCGATTTGTGTTGATATGGTATTGCAAATTCAAAGGCTGGTAAAGTTTTCTGGGAGTTAAGCTTCGTTATCTATTTGAAGATCGGGCCTGCGGTATTAAGTCGCACATGTTGCGGGGCCCAACTCTAGAGTAGTTGTTTCACCCGAAAAATGGTGCGCGTTCTCTAACTTCGAGTGAACGCAGCTGTGCCCCGTGGGCCCGAAGAGGCCCATGCACCCAGACTCTTACATTACAAATAGTACCATTCTTTCGTCGGCGATCGGCGGCAGCCCTGATATATGAATGGGAGAACCCAGCTTCTCAAGAGAACGATCGCACCGCAAAAGGGCTTCCTCCTCCACCCTCCCCCTCCCCCGCGCGCGGGAGGAGGAGGAGGGGGAGGGGGCGATGGGGGGGTGGGACAGGGGTTGGAGGAGGAAGGAAGGGGGAGAGGGAGGACGAGGAGCATCAGGAACAGAAGGAGAAGGAGAAGGAGGAGCAGCAGCAGTAGGAGAAGAGGAGTTGGAGGAGGAGGAGGAGGAGGGGAGGGGGAGAGGGAGGAAGAGGAAGGGATCGAGGAGGAGGCGCATCAGCACCATCAGCAGCCGCACCTGGAGGACGACGAGGAGCATCAGCAGGAACATGATTTGTTTTCTCGAGCCCGACTCGTGAGAGTCGGAAGGCTCTCCGAGCCTGGACCCTGGCCGAAGCAGCCAGCCGCTTAGCTCGTCAGGAAGGTCCTCAACTCCTTCGACGAGCACTCCCTCTTCACCACCTCGCCCAAGTCCCACGGCGAAGTGGCCCTGTGGCACTTCCCGAAGAACTCCGCGTGGTCGGGGTTGTCCTTCAGGTAGGGCAGCGTGTACGTGTACGTCTGGTCGGCCATCGTCCACTGCAGGTCCATGTAGTCGATGATGTGTGTGGCCACTGCTGCTTCCGTCTTGGCTGTCGCCGTCGCTGCTTTCTTCTTGGCGCTGCCCTCGTCGGCCTCCTTCGCGCCACCCTTCTTGACAGGCAACGGCGCGATCGCCCAAGCCAGGCACCCGTCGCTCCGCCGAAGGTTGTTGGCCAGGCCCTCGATGTACAGCTTCGGGCCAGCTCCGTTGTTGTCGCCGAGCGGCAAGCACATGGCCTTGTTGATCGCCACGGCTTCGCCCTCGCAGACCACCTTGCCCCAGAAGGGGAGGTTGACGTCCTTCCTGTCGCTCTTGTTGGCCAACTCCACGCGGTGCACCTCGAGCTTGATCTTCTTGTTCGGCGTACTCGCCTCGCGAGGATCCGCGTGCTTGACGCAGAGGCCGTTGACCTCTTGGTTGGTGCCGTAGGCCGCCACGTGGTGCATCATCACCTCCGAGATCTTCGTCTGCGCCGACGCCACGATGCCCTTGAGGATCACGTGCTGCTCGGCCCCCTCCTGCATCAGAAGGGCACTCCACCAGTTGCCAATTGGGATCAGCACTGGGTTCTTCACCTCGATCACCGCGACGGCGTCGCCGTCCTTCTTACTCTCGGCTGTCTCTGGGGCCCTGACTGGAGGCGACCCCCCATGCTTCTCCGAAAGTCGCTGGATCGCGATCTCCGACGTCTTCGCGTAGAGGAGGGCCGCCTCTGCCTCGGTCTGGTGAAGCTGGTCGTACGCGGCAACGATCTCCTCCACAACGGCATCGCGATTGGACTGGAAGAGCTCGATCTGTCGGGTGATGGTCGTCTTGATCTTGATTCCCTCGCTCGCCAGCTGGCGCTTCATCGATTCGGCTGAGGCCTTCTTTATCTTCTCGAGGAATGTTGTCTTCTTCTCCAAGAAATGCTGCCCTCCATTGGCGCAAATAAACATATCCACGTCGACAAGCTCCGACATCCATTTGCCCGCTGCCTCAACGAAAGACAAACCAATGACGTCACCTTCTGGAGACATGCCAGTAACAAGCTGGGAGAGGAAGGCAGGCTTCTCCGCGAGCGTGTCCTTACCGACGCTAGCGATGTTGTAGGAGTCAAACAGCTCGTGGACCACCCTCTGGCAGTGCATCGGCAGATAGGGAAACCTCACAGACTTCGCAGCCTTCTGAGTAGCAGGAGGCGATACAGAGACGTAGGTCATGGCACCGATGCTCTTGAGGATGTGGAAGAAGATCTGCGACCGAATGGCCCTCAAGAAGTTCGTGTTCATATCGACGATCTCTGCGATCGAGTCCGTGACGTCGCGGGGCAACTTCTCGATGAGCCCGTGCTGCTTTGCCGAGTCCAAAATTTTCATCACGTCGTCCCACTCGACGGGGACTTCCGCGACGACCGAGTCCGCAACGCTAGTAGCAGCAAACACTGCGATCTGCTTCCCCTTCTCGGGCTCCTCCACGTCGGCAGAGCTGTTCGAGAACTCCATCAGCTTCATCAGCGCCTCGTTGGCCAGGCGAGCTGGGATGCACTGCGTCGATATCGGCATGCTGGTGTTGTGGCTCTTGAAGAAGGTCTTCATGGCTGCAACGATCTCCGTGGTCTCCGAAGCTCGCATGAGCCCAACGATCTCATCGACGGTGGCTGCGCGGTTGGCAGGCGCCTCGGCCACATCTTGCTCGAGGAAGCCGTCCTGGATCTCTTTATGCAGGTCGGCGCACAAGGATGCATTCCAAGCCTCCTCGCTGGGGCGTGGCTGGAGCTTGGCACTCCTGCACACGTGGTTGCGGAACAGCAGTCGTAATGCAAACCAGCCCTTGATCACCCGCGGAAGCCCATTGACCATGACAGCGCAGCTCCCCGTGAAGCATGCCTTGAGCGTGGCGAGCTTCAGGGACCTGGCCTTGAAGGCCTGGCGCTGGTCCAGCCAAGTCAGGTACGCCTTGTGGTCCGCCACAAAGGAGAATGGGCCCAGCTGCTGGGTGTCTTGGATGTTTTAGTATTATGTTACTTCCGTTACGGAAGTACCATAAGACAAAAACATCCGAAACACCCAGAGCCCATAGCCCCCATCCCCATTGTGTGGACAGTGCCTCGGTCTCGTAAATGAACTCGAGCCTCGTCTTGTCCTTGTCGGTGATCTTCAGCTGGTCCACGTCGCCGTCGTCGCCCTTCCTCTTGGTCGTGATCTCATCCTCGATGGGGGTTGCCACCGCAGAGGACGATGCGCCCGATGCGCCCCGCTTGGCGTCCTGCATCTTCTGCGCGATCTTGTCCTTGAAGGCCTTCTTGATGTTCAGCTTGCCCTTGGCACGAAAGTCGGTTTCGCTCTGGCAGCGTCGGCAGCTGCCTTGGCCTGCTGCCTCTCCTTCTTTTTCTTCTCAGTCATGTCGGCCTTGGCCTGCTTCTTGAGCAGCGCAGTCTGCTTCTGTCTGGTCAGCTTGCTGCCCTCCTTCAGCTTCTCGAAAACTGCTGTGTTCTCCATCGTCTTGAGCAACTCGCGAACGTGCTGGTCGGTCAGGGTCATGTCAAGGAGGCCCACTCCGTTCGGGAGGAGGGGGCTCCTGCCGAGCACATCCTCGGTGGGGATCATCAGCAAGAGGATGTCGACGATAGTCTCTGGCCCCCTGGGGGCGTCCTTCAACACCTTCGGCCATCCAACGCAGACGGCGTCTAACACTGACCACCCACCACCAACTTCCCAGGCCCCACGCGGGCCCAAGGACGGGCACTAGTATCAGTACCGTGTTTTGGTAAAGAAAACATCAATGCCAACAGCTGCCAGCCCCAGAAGAGATTGTGCAAGAATGCACGGGGTGCGAGAAGGGCGGGCTCGTGGCCCGTGACAACCCATCTGCGTTGGACGCCTGACCTTGACCAAGGCATCGGCAGACAGGACGACATTCTTCACCAGCTTCGGGTCCATGTTGGTGAAGTCGCCGAACTCCATGAACGCCTTCTCGATCGCCCTCCACAACGAGTCGCCCCTGTAAGGCCCCGACGTCACCTCGATCTTCTGAGACTCCCTACGGAATGCAGCGCACCTGGTGTAGTAGTTCTTGGATGTCCCCCATCGTCCAGGGTAGACAGCGTTCGCGATCTTGAAGTGCTCGTCCTCGTAGAGGCTCTGCGTAACTGGCGACGGTGCGATCGGTGCACTGCCACATCTCGATAGGGGTGGTGAGGGTCAACACGTCAGCCTCTGCGTTGCCCAGCTCGGCAATGAAGCTCCTCGCGTACGCTGGAGTTCGCCGAAGATACACCCTCGAATGGGCGATGCCCTCCTTCCTCATCTTTACCATGTGCACGTGGTCTGGGTTCTCACGGAACACGCACTCGCAACCTTCCAAGAAAGTAGCCCAGTGTCCAACTAGGTACTCCTCTGTCCTCATGGAGTCGTCGTGCTCGTAGAGGAAGGGCCCACCTCCCGTGGGCAACAACCCAGACCGCAGAAACGATTCCTTCCGCTTCTGAATGCTGCCCTTGTCGCCTCTGCCCTTGTTCTCGACGTCCCTCTTGAAAGCCCATTCGTTCTTCGAGGTGACTGGCCGAATCAGCTCGTCGCCTGAGCCCCTCAGGAACCAGTAGTCAACGAACTCCCTCTTCTCCTGCAAGGTGCGGTTCTTGCCAACCACATCGTCCAGCGACTTTATTTCGGGGTTGAAGACGTCGCAGGCCTGCCGAATCCACGCAGGCACCTCGTCGTCACCTGCGGCGCCCACGACCGTCATCCGTGGCGGCGTGGCGATGATCGGTCTCAGACGATCAGTGGAGGTTCCACTGTGGAGCCAAAAAACGGCTTGAGCAACATGCAGCAGAGGAAGGGGGGAGGATGAGGAGGGGGACGGGGGCGTGGGCTGTTTTGGGTCCCGATGGCGTGGGCTGTTTTGGGTTCCGTTGGTGTGGGCTGTTCGGGGTTCCGTGTGTGTAGGATGTCTTGGGTGCCGGGGGCCCGGGGGCGTGGGCTGTTTTGGGTTCCGTTGGCGTGGGCCCGCCCAAATCGGCAGCACAACGCAAAGCGCAACAACAATACATTGCAACGCAAGTTCAGTAGACATGCAAACAGATGGGCACCACGCTTGAACGATGGAGGCTCCAAACAGGCTACGACCCTCAATGGATAAGCATTTGATCTGTATGGTGTACCCAGGGCATAAGCACCTAGTGGCTACGACCCCCAGGGGGATAAGCATCTGATCTGTATGGCTTACCCAGCGCATAAGCATCAACTGGCCACGACCCCCAAGGGGATAGGCATCTGGTGACTACGACCCCCAGGGGAGATAAGCATCTGGTGGCTACGACCCCGAGGGGAGATAAGCATCTGGTGGCTATGAACCCCCTATGGGATAAGCATCTGGTGACTACGACCCTCATGGGATAAGCATCTGTTGACTACGACCCCCAGGGGAGATAAGCATATGATGACTACGACCCCCAGGGGAGATAAGCATCTGGTGGCTACGACCCCCAGGGGATACGCATCTGATCTGCATGGCGGACCCAGGCCATAAGCATATGATGGGTACGACCCCCAGGGACAAGCATCTGATCCGTATGGCCTGCCCAAGATGTAAGCATATGGTGGCTACGCCCCCCCCCCGCGGCCCCCGTGAGATGGCGACAACATTTGTTTTTTTTGTTTTTCGCCGAACCACCATGCCACCCAGGCTGTTTGTTTGTGAGGCCCCGACAGGGTACGACGACGACCGATGAAGCAACTGCAGGAGGCTGAGGGGGGCCCACGGACGACCGAATAACAATTTCTCCACACGTCTTGCAAAGTCAACTCGGCCGAGGGCTGAGGCGAGATGCGTTTGCAGTTCCCCCTCCTCCTCGTCCTCGTCCTCGTCCTTGTCCTCCCCATCAGTGTTGTTGATGGCGCGTGATGTTTGATGCGTGCTGTGCGCGCGTGCGGTGTGATGATGTTTTCCTCTGATCGGGCACGTTTGTGAGTTTCTGCAACCGATGCGTGTTCTGCGTTTTGTTGTTTGCAGGTGATGCGTGTTGCTGGGATGAGATGTGTTGTTGGCATGTGTTGATACTTGCTCAGCTCATTGTTACGTGTCCTAAGTTACATACCGCCCAGGTTGCAAGCTAATGAGCTGGGCCCAATACTGGGCCGCTGGCCCTGCACAAGAAGCAAACACACTCGTCCGAAAAGAAGCCACCTACGCCCTTGGCAAAAAGTTCGACGTACCGCCCTGCACATTTGCTATGCCACACAAGGCAGCACGAAGCACACTTGCACGCTGCACTCGGCTCTGCAAGTTCGGGCACGGCCCCAAGTCCCCCAGGCACACTCCTGGAAGCTTCGCACCAAACGCACGTGCTTCCCTCGGGCCCAGGGAGGGGGCCAGAAAACGCACGAGACTGGTACCACTCTCTCAAGACCAACGCAAACTCAGGAACCTCATCCCTCTCGCGCTCGGATTTCCTATGCAAGTAGGTCGCCCCAGTCTGGACAACTAAGACTGTCGCAGTGGAAAAGTCAACAGGAGGAACCATACCGAACACTATAGCTTTGACCTTCTTGTTCTTTACCTGTAAAGGGCGAGCCATGCGAGCAGCAACACCCGACCACATCACGAAATCTACACTATCGCCGCTCTGGACTAACGAGATCATACGATCTTGCAAAGGCAACGCTGCATCATTCGTAGTTGCCAAATGCTCAAAAGCGTTTAGAATACGAGCCTTCATGTCCGCACTCTTACCAGCCACGAAAGTCTGCATGTCCACGTCAAGGGGGGTGGCCTCGATCCCCTCGCCCTTGCCCCCACTGGCCTCAAGCGCAGCGTCCGAGGGGTCATCGCTGCTACCGTCGTCGGGCCACTCGGGCAAGGGCTCCGCCACCACCACCCCCTCCTCGTTGACCTCGGCAGCAGGGTCCCTTGCTAGGCTCTCTGCCTCCGACTCCCCATCTAGATGACCATCGCCGTCGGGATGGCCATCAGCTCCGACCGCGAACCCGAAATCGTCCGCATCCAGCAGGTCCTCCATCCCCTTTTCCAGCCAGGAATCGTCACCAGACTTGTCGCTATCGTCATCGCCTCTGCCTGGGCCTCCATCGCGAGGTTGTGTATCTGCTTTCGGCTTCTCCCATTTTATTTTGTGCTCGGTGGAGCTGCCCAAATCCAGATGCCCAATAAGGTCAGCAGGCACCCCACTGTCGTCGCCCATGCCATCAGCCCAAGACACGGCGTACGAGAACACACGTATGAACTCAAGCATTGCACAGCGACGGCGCTTAGGGCGGGCCTCCAGCTCGATCGGAATCGGGCCAACCCCACAAGCCACATCGCCATCAGATAAGGGTAAGCAGTCATCGGTAGCGGGGCCGCCATCCACCATACCAGATACCAAAGATAAGACGTCCGTGAATTTCAAAGGTGAGCAAGGCACGATGTTTGCCGTTGTCCCTGCCGCTGCGGGGATGCGAAATTGAGCCAGCGACCTCCTGGAAAAATATGTCCATGCGGCAATGTACACGTGCTGGCCCATACATTCACTTGCTGCCAACTTGAAGCCAAATGTGTACGCTTTGGTTGCAGTTCTGGGAATCTGCCGCTGAGCAGGAGCTGCAAACCCACGAACTCTATGACTGTGCGCAGGATCGCGCAAACACGGCTTGAAGGTGATCTCCTCTGGCTCGTCGAAGTCGCGAGGGGCAAACCGAACGAGTTGCGACCGAGATGCCATGTACTCTTTGGCGGCATGGTGCAACCCGCAACACTCAGTGGCGCTGATGGGGTCGCCAAGCTTTAACTGCAAGCGATCGCTGGCCAGTGCATGGCCCATGTTAGGTGCAATCCTCGCCATTGTTTGCAGAACGACGTGGAGACCCTCCATACTCTTGCTCTCGAAGACGACTTGGGACCTCCACACCAACAACAACGAATACAAGTTCAAAGGTACTTGTCCAGATGTCTTAACCACTAGCAGCTCATCTGCATGCGTTTGCCTGAGCTTCCAAGCGAGATCGCTTATGCCGCTCCGCAGGTAAGGACTCGGCTGCCGCAAGCAGCATTCGTGCGAACCTCCATCGGCTAGCAAAAGGTTGGTTGCATCCAGTGATGCCCCCCCTCCGTGTTGGAGGGTTGGAAGGGGTAGGGCCCCCGCGGGGAGGCCTTACCCCTACACCTCCAAACCTCCAACACGTTGGTTGACTTTGGCTCGCCGAGAACTTAAAAGCTTCTCGCACACGCCCTGCCTCCGATCGTCGACAACACCTGGTGGATGTTCCAACAGAAGTAAAAGCAGCAATGGAAACGTTGAAGCACCATCCCATAGCCTGAAATCATAAGAAGCCCCAACCATAAGAACGCACTCGACGACAAGTTGCCTCGCCTGCTCCCTCTCCAAGCCAGTTTTGCATTGTGCCCATAAGGGCGCCCAGCAGTCGTAGCTTCGCACAGCTTCCCTACCCAACAAGAACGAAATCTCATCGCGAATTGTCCCCGCGAAACTGGCCACCATCAGCGAGCAGGGCGTCGGGCCGAGGTATGTTTCACCTCGTGCCGTGGATGCCTTGACCTGCTGATTGAACACCTGTTGCTTCTTGTCGGCCCAATTCATAAGATGCTGGATAGGCCGCTTGACGTTAAAAGACACCCTTGCCATAAGTTCGAAACGATGGTCGTCCAGAAATCCAAGCGCATTTCGCCGCGCATTCCTCTGCCGCTGCTGGAACTCCTCCTCCTCGTCTTCACCTGGTCGGGGGGGCAATGGCCCCTTGCCCCTGCCCCCCCTCGATTCTCCAGCCCCTCGCAGAACTCTGCCTCGGCCCCGTCCCCGTCCGCGGGCAGGGTCCCTCATCTTAGGCCCAAGTATAGCAGGTAAAACAACTCGCAGGACCCACATCGATGCTAACAGAATCTCTTCGACGCCGTCGATTGATCCCCATCGGTCCTTCAAGCATCGCCCTGGTATCCTGCCGACGGCCTTCAGCGCTGCCAAATTGTTTGGGAAATGCCTTTTGGTAGTCTGCTTGATGCAGGCGGGCATGCCAGGCGTTCGCCACACACCTGACATGCTGGAGACCCCGTTGAAGTATTTCACTTGCATGTCATCTACCCATGGGTGCCAAGACTCAAGAGCAACCAATACAGCCTTGTCCACCAAATGGCACTGATGGTAGTGACACCAGACAACGGTTAGCATGATATGACGAGAATCCGATATCAACCTTGCAACGCGCTTCCATGCAGAAACGTTGTCGCCACCTGTTGTGGGCATCAGGCACAGAATACATCGGACTCCGACCCCCATCACGATGAGGCATCGTTCTGGGATCGGTGTCCTGATGCATGTTGTGCATGGCGCCCAACCTTTGTCGACTGCAGCGCTCAGGAAAGTAATTCTCGCCTCATTGGCCTCGCGAAGTCGCTGGACCCAAGTAGGTGCACTCACAGAGTCGAACTCGCGGAGCATCAACGAGTACGTCTCCTCGCCTGTCCCTTCGTGAACATCCTGTAGGTCGCAAAGTACACGCTGGGAGACGCACGCGCTCTGGAGTTCGTCCAAATCGAAGCAGGAGTCGTCGCATATCAACATTGCTGAATACGAGATTTTCGCAACGTGCTTTTTCATATCCAGCACAGCTGAGGTCGTAGCATCCCCCTGATAAAGCAAGGCCTCAGCAGACATGGTGCGCAGACGCGTCACAGCTCCAGAATCATCGCGGCCATCTTGCGCACTCTCTGAAAC